CTGGCCCTGGTTGCTCAGCCAACAGTCCTGAGTCCGGTAACCCACTTGTTACCAGATGTCCAGGAACTAGACCAATCCGGTGTAAGAGTTGCTGCATTCATCGGCGAATAAAAAGTCCATGAGACGCAGGCTCATACGAAAGCAATTTACTCAAGTGTAATGCATGTGGTTACAAGCAAAGCCAGGGTTGGCTTGGCACAGGTTACATAGCATTTTATAGTCTCCCTGTTCCCGCACTTAGCAAGTCCCTCCTGCCGACTGCCCCTGCCCGCCTTTGCCCATCCTTGCCTCGCCCCATGCCCCTGGCTCCCCCCACCTCAGTCCAATGGCAGGTTCAACCAGGGTCCTTTGTTTTCGGCTGTCTTGCTCACGAGGCAGGTCCCATGAGGCTGACTCACGATTGCGCTTGATGGGCGGTTGAGCGCAGCTTGAGCTCCGGAGCTCTTTGTTTCCATTGTCAGCTGCTTGCCTGTGGTGGCTGGGGGAAGTCCCGCTTGTTACAAAGTAATTGATTCCTGCTGCGGGCTGATTGGCACCATCTGTCGGTAGTTTACTTGCAGTTAGCGCTTCCTCTTTCGATCGCCTGCGCCTGAGCCAAGGAAGCTGACCAGGCATGTTTGAACTTAGCTAGGCGGAATGGTGGCTAGCTTGAATGGCATGTGCTGAGCCAGGCTGAACCTGACATCCGGTATAAGTTTTTGTAAATTATGTCTTACCATATTATTTATGGGAGAGACGCTCTTCGTCTGGCTCCTCTGATGAGACCTGCCCAGTATGGTTGAACCACTAGCATAGCTCTCATCCTCCTCAGAGCGCACAAGCCCCACAACCATGTCAAGATAGTGCCTCACTGGGGGTGATGATGATGATGATGATGATTTCTGCCTTTTTTATTTATAATTCAAGGCAGTATGTATTCCTAATTCTCCTGCCTCCTATTTTCCCCTGAACAACAACCCCATGAGGTGGGTTGAGCTGAGAAAGAGGGCCTACCCCAAAGTCACCCAGCCAGTTTTCATGCCTAAGGCAAGACTAGAATTCACCATCTCCCTGTTTCTAGGCCAGCACCTTCACGACTGTACCAAACTGGCTTTCTTGTCACCACACTATATTTGTGTTATTTTTTCCAACACTCTTCAGCAAAAAAACCAGAACATCTTTACCTTTTGTTTCTTGTTTCTACAAAGAAATATGCCTCTTGCATTACTATTTTACAACAGTCTTTGATGATTTTCAAATTATGAATCTCACATTTATGAAGCAGATGTTACAATAAGTTAAAAGGATGCCTGATGAATTTAATATTTTAACATACTGTTGTGTTTAATAAAACTAATTAGTACATGAATCTACTATTATATCCATCTATCAAAGTTTTATTTGATTAATCTCGAATGTGAATCTAGAGGGCTGAGATTTAATGGTATATTTTAGAGCTATTTTTACTTATATATATTACTATAGTTAGCAATACAGAAGAAAAGGGAAGGTCTCTAATTTGAAATTTTAGCAAGTATATGCAATAATATTTACAATTGCTCAGTTGATTTCAACCAGATAATAAATCATGTGCAGGTATTTAATCAATGGCTATTTACCTTAATAAAAATTATTGCTCTGATAACAGTGAAATTTCCTTTCGATTTTCACAGTATGTTAATATCTAGTGTCAAATAAGTTATCTTGTTTTTAAAGTCAAGATGCTGTTTATAGTTACAAGTATCAATGTTACTATTTTAATATGATATATGCATTTTATTAATGTAATGCTATTCATTATATTCCAGGTACAAGAATGGTTATGCTTAAATTGCCAGACTCAAAGGGCACTATCAGGACAACTTGGGGATATAGAAAAAATTACACCTCCGGTACTTCCAAAATCATCAGTCAAACCATCAAATGTTCTTCAAAGTCAGTCTAAACCTGCTGAGTCACACCACCAACAAAAGACTTCAGCAAAACCTGCCCTGGTGCCTGAAAAACCAAAAATTGGTTCAGAAATTCAGAAAGAAGATCCAAAGATTAAGAAGGACACACTTTTAGCAAAAACATTTACTGGTAGAATCCAGGAAGAAATTATTCAAACTGATATTTCAAAGTTTTCAGAAGAAAAATTGGCAAAAACAACATCTGCTGATAAAATCATTCAAGGAATTTCAAGGGAAGATTCAAAAATTGAAAAGGAAAAATTGGGAAAATCATCATCTGCTGATCAAATTCTTAAAAAAGAGTCAAAACTGACCACAGTTGATAAGATTTCAGGAAATATACACGTGGGACAGGCAAAAATATCTTCTCATGTACACCCAGAACTTCAACAGGTTAAATTGACCAAAGGTGAGCAAACTCAGAAGGAGGACCCAAAGATTCAAGTCAAATTACTATCTGCTGATCAGAATCAGAAGGATCAGGTGAATTTGGAAAAAATACCATCAGCTGGTAAAATCCTGCAAGAAGTTCAAAAGCAAGATCCAAAGCTTTATCAAGAAAAAATGACTAAAGTAGCCTCAGATGGTGAAATTATGAAAGTTGAACCAAAATTTCAGCAGGCAAAATTGGCCAAAATACTATCCTCTGATCAAATTCAGAAAGAAGATTCAAAACGAATTCCAGCAAAAATAGTGAAAACAACCTCTGCTGATCAGCTGTCAAAAGATTCTGTGAAATTTAAGGAACCAAAACAAGTAAAATTGCCTATGATGGAATCAATTTCTTCCAAGACAAGTAGCATCCAGACACAGCTGTCACAAGACTCAGCTCACCTCTCTGAAATCAAACAGAAACCAAAACAAGAACAATTATTTGAAGAAAAGCCAGAAGCTGAAATGCTTCTAGAAACAAAACAGCAGGAGGATTCCTCGATATGTATGTCAGAAACCATCTCAAAAACTCATAAATTACCCAAGGAAAATATTTCAGCTCTCCCAGTATCATTACCAAAATCTTATCCTGTGGAGTCACTGAGAGAAAAAACAGTAAGTGCTTTACATTCCTCTCTTGCTAGGAAATGGCAAAACCTATTTCCATATCATGCCAGAAAAAACTGCTTGGACATATTCATGGGAGCTGAGCTTGATGCAGGGAACTTATTTATAGCAGATAGCAGCACTTAGTAAACCTTGGCTAGTCCTGGGGGGAGGGGGAAAGCAGAATGGGAAACCACCAAATTTGGTAAGCATCCCTTCTATCTCCTCATCTAAGCCACTTATGAAAATGTCAAAGTGCACCAGACAGAACCCTGAGGTGACCCATTGGATACCTCCCTTCATATGCTGATATAGAACTATTAAAGACCATGTATTGGGTATGGTTGTTCAACCAGCTGCAACTCCATCTAGTGATAGCAGTATCTATGCCACTTTGCCCCATTTTATCAAGAAGGAGGTGATCAGCTTTATCAAACCCCTTACTAAGCATACTACAGCATTCCCTTGGCCTACTAATCTTGTCACTTCATCAGAAAAAGCAATACAGTTTGTCTGGGACAACCTTTTTTTAACAAACCCCATTCTGGTTTTGGGCAATCACCTTGTTCCTTTCTAAATGCTTGCCAATCTTTTCCCAGGTACTGATGTCAAGCTGACCAGTCTGCAGTTTCCTGGCTCCATTTTTTCCCCCTTTTATAAAGATGGGGACAACATTAACTCTTCTCCAATCTTGTGGCACTCCAGAAGTTCTCAAAGATTACAATCAGTGGTTCTGAGACCATATCTGCCAGTTATTTTAGCACTCTAGGAGGTAATCCATTCAGTCCCAGAGACTTAAATTAATTCAAAACAGCTAGGTGTTCTCCTAGTAATTCCTCACCTATTTTGACTTACATTTAAACTCTACCCTGCACAGTGCAACTTCTGGCAAGTGGAACCATTTTTTATTTTGTAAAAAGACAAGATGAAAAATAAGAATTAAACAGTCCAGCCTTCTCTCTGAGGCTTTTCACCCTCTTGCCAATTTCTCCAACTAGCAGACCAACTGCTTCCTTTACCTTCTTGTTCCACACATACCTAAAGACCCTTTTTTAATTGTTATTTTTGGTGTGTATTGCAAGCCTCAGCAAATTCTGAGCCCTAGCTTTTACAGATTTGGGCTATTCTCTGATATTCAGCAATTGTTATATGCGTCTCTTTTCCTTTGTAAAACTTACCCTTTTTGCTTCAGAGCTTATCAGAAAACTTCATGCCACTGTGCCAGTTTCATCTCCTACTTCATTTTCTCTTTAGTATCATTTGTATTTGGGTCATAAGTGTCTCTCTCTCTCTCTCTTTTTTTTAGAATTTCCCAACACTCCTTAATATTTTTCCCTTCAGGATTTCCATTCATAGAATCCTTTCTACTTTTCCCTTATTAAAGTCAGCTGTCTTGAAATGTAGAACACTAACTTGGCTAGCTGTTATGAGTCAGAGGCTGAAGGATCTGATCTGATAACCATCAGCCTCAGGACCCAGCAGGCAGTCCATCACCTGGAGTAAGTCGGGGAGATATTAAGTGTTAAATTGGATTATTCTACATATCTTTCATCATTTTATCTTCATAACAACTTTTAAAAATAGTTCAAACTAAATTAAACTTTACCCACAGTAAACTGAAAGATTGAAATAGTTTTGGCCTTGATTCTTCCACATGCAGTTTATCTTCACTGAAACATGTCGATCTTATTAGAGATGTTTGTAATGTTATGCAACTTGAATTTTTCTATTAATTGTAATTACACCAAAGTGTCCTTATATAATCCTGTTAGATCTAAATAAGGTGCTAGTCCCATTAAATATAGCACCACACTTTAAAATGTTCCTGAATGATATTGAGAATAAATTATTTTCTATTTAATTAGAAAAATGTATCTTAAGTGGTATTTTTATATTGCTTAAGTGCAAAATTAGAAATTGTAGTTTAAACAAATTTTATTTGTTACTCACAATGCTTTATCATGGTTTTCACAATTACAGCTACATTGGCAGATGAATCTATTATTTCATTACCTTGAAAAGATAAGTCTTAATATGTTTCTGTATGTTTATATATGTTTTAGGAAAAAGAAGATGACAAATCAGATATATCAAGTTCACAGCAGCAAAAAAGTCCTCAAGGTTTAAGTGATACAGGATATTCATCTGATGGAGTCTCAAGTTCACTTGGTGAAATTCCAAGTCTTACTCAAACTGACGAAAAAGATATGCTGAAAGAGCCTTGTAAAAAAGAATCTCTTTCACAGGAGGGAAGCCCAACTAGCCCCTCTGATCTTGCTAAGCTAGAAAGCACTGTCTTGTCAATTCTGGAAGCTCGGGTAACAAGTCTGGCTGAAGAGAAGTCTGGAAGGACCAAAGATCTTTATACTGAACAGACAAAAGACTCTCATGAAACAGCACTCTTGCCTATCACCTCAGAATCGTTCAGTTCTGAGGAGGAGGATTTGACAAAACCAAATATTCAAGGTGAAGGAGATCCTGAACAAGGCAGTAAACAAACTTTGCCATCTCAGAAAGGACCCAAGCAGACAGCAGGGATAACAGAAAATGTATCACCCACAAGGCAAAGATATGACTCTGTAGAAGACAGCAGTGAGAGTGAGAATTCACCTGTCCCACAAAGAAAAAGACAGGCTAGTATTAGTTCTTCAAGCAGTGATGAATATAAACCAGAAGATAGTCCAGGTTCAGGTGATGATGAAGATTTCATTCGAAAACAGATCATGGAGATGAGTGCTGATGAGGATGCTTCAGGTTCCGAAGATGAAGAATTCATCAGAAAACAGTTAAAAGAAATTAGTACAAATGAAACTCAGAAGAAGGAAGAAGTTAAAATTAAAAAAGGAATAGGTGGAAAACATAAGAGGGTATCACGTAAAAGTAGCACAGGCTATGATGAGGATTCTGGAAGACGCCATTCCTGGCACGATGATGATGATGATGATGAGACTTTTGATGAAAGTCCAGGACCCAAATATAGAGAGACAAAAAGTCAAGAGAGTGAAGAAATTACTGCAACTGGAGGAGGAGGTCTTCGTCGCTTCAAAACAATAGAACTTAACAGTACAATTACAAATAAATTTTCTGAGGAATCAGAAACACCAAAGAGAAGTTTATATTTTGATGAAGAGCCAGAATTAGAAATGGAGAGTCTTACAGATTCACCAGAGGATAGATCACGGGGAGAAGGATCTTCTAGTTTGCATGCCTCCAGTTTCACCCCAGGTACATCTCCTACATCTGTTTCATCCTTTGATGAAGATAGTGATAGCAGTCCCAGTCATAAAAAAATGGGGGGAGAAAGTAAGCAGCAGCGTAAAGCCAGACATCGGACACATGGACCTCTTCTTCCAACGATTGAAGATTCTTCTGAGGAAGAGGAACTTAGGGAGGAGGAAGAGCTGCTGAAAGAGCAAGAAAAACAGCGTGAACTAGAACAGCAACAAAGAAAGAGCTCTAGCAAAAAATCTAAGAAAGATAAAGATGAGCTCAGAGCCCAGAGAAGAAGAGAACGACCAAAAACACCACCAAGTAATCTTTCTCCTATTGAGGATGCATCTCCAACAGAAGAATTGCGTCAGGCAGCAGAAATGGAGGAACTACATCGATCTTCCTGTTCTGAATATTCACCAAGTATTGAGTCCGACCCTGAAGCTTTTGAAATCAGTCCAGAAAAAATAATAGAAGTGCAGAAGGTTTACAGATTACCAACAGCTGTCTCACTGTATTCTCCTACAGAAGAACAGCCCATTGGAATGTTCAAACAAGGGAATAATCAAAAGATTTTAAAAAGTGCAGAAGAGGTATATGAAGAAATACTGCATGCGTCCCAGAAGGCCAGACAACTTCCAGATGAAAATGAAAGAGAAGAAGTGTTTGAAAAAGAACCTTTATATGGTGGCATGCTAATAGAAGACTATATTTATGAATCTTTAGTAGAAGATGCATACAACGGGGCTACAGAGTCTAATCTCATAACAAAACAAGATGAGTGTGATGAATTTAGGCAAGAAAAAGACAAAGAGAAAAAAACACCTCCAGAGCAAATGTATGAAGAACCAGTACAAAAACCCATTGATTTACAAAACACCTATTATAGGATAGAGCTTTTGCATTCAATTATGCCTCAAGAAGATATTGTCTCTAGCTCTTATATCATGCCAGAAAGCCATGAAATAATTGTACTGGACAATGTCGCACCAACTTCAAGTGATGAAAAACAGCTGCTAGATGCAGATGCTGTTTATGAAGAACTTATGAAGCGGCATAGAATACAGTTGACCCCAGGCTCCAGTCCTACTCAGTCAACTCCTGAATTAGTTTCCATCTCAAAGAGAAGTATATCTGGAGAAGCAATAGATAGTAACTCACTAATTTTAAGCACTTCTTCAGCAATTTCAGACATAACTTCAGTAAGCTCTGTAGTGCTTCCCATTCCAGATGTAAAAATTACCCAGCACTTTTCAGTTGAAGAAACAGAGGATAATTATTTTACTGATTATGCCCATGAGGTGGAAGAAATTATTTCCCAAGAAACATCCATGTTGACATACTCAGAGGCCTCAGAAAGTGCCACTCCTGTTTTGCCTTCTGATACATGTTCTCTTACATCATCTACATCTTCTGTTTACACCACCGACAGTACTTCACCAGTAGCTGGATCAGATGGCATAGCTCCCATTTATAAAGATTCAGTAGATGCTCTTAGTGGGCTATCAGATTCAGAAGGGATCATTTCAGTGACACAGGCTACTATAATTTCCCAAAGTGAGAACTATGAACCTCTTATGTTATCCCCCAAGAAGGCACTCATAGCCAAAGATCTAACTGATACCAGTCAGGTATTGGTTACTCTTCCTGAAACTGACTCCTTTGTATCAACTTCTGTAGAAACAAAGCCCAGAAATGTTGTCTCTGCCTCTCCTGTCTTGGCAGAAGATGGCAAAGCTGGAAGAGACATATCAAAGTTTAATGATCTGAAAAGACTTTATGAAGATGAATATTCAAGGGTTTCCATTAATATGACAGGAATAGATGCTGTATCTGACCAAGAATTTACCTGCATAGTTCCAGTCACTGCATTATATTCTGTTTCTTCTATTATTCCTGTACTGTCATCTGAAGGTTCTACAGTTTCCACTGCTACATCCAAAACATTTTTGGAAAGATCTTTTGTTCATCCCTCTCCACCATATCCTCCTCCTCCACCACCACCACCACCCCCTCCACCACCACCACTTCCCCCACCTATTCTACCAAAGCCAGCTATTTATCCTAAAAAGAAGCCACCAGTTAAAACTGCAGTGACCACAGCTCCCACCATGTCATCCATTAGTACTGCCAAAATAGCAGAGACCTCTGCTATAAAAACTAATGTATCTCCTGTCACAAAAATATACACATCAACACCACCTCCCGTCCCACCTAAACCAGCTTTAATTCCAGCAGGACTTGTATTTGCACACAGACCTTCTGAAATAATAAAGCCTCCTATTGCTCCTAAACCAACCATTCCTCAGTTACCAGTAGCTGTTCATAAACCAATAGAAACACAGTCAAAACCAGAAGGTTTGTCTTTTACCAGCTGTATGACTTTGAACTTGGTTTCCCCTGTTGAATACAAATTGACCTCTCCCACATCCCCATCATCTCCACATTCTAATAAATCATCTCCAAGGTTGTCCAAACCTTCTCAGGAAACCTATGTTGTTATCACATTGCCCTCTGAGCCTGGAACTCCAACAGAATCCAGTACCAGTCAAGCAATTACCAGTTGGCCTTCAGGTTCACCCCTTAAGGAACAAGCTCCAGAATCTATACAAACATTGTTCATGCCATCTATAAGTTCACTGCAAATGCAAAGTATAACAGATCAAAGCAAGAATACACCAGATGCTTTGAATGCTATTTCTTCTATTCCTATCACTACTCCTGCACGGACAATTTTTGGCATGGTACCTAATTCCACAACAGAACTAATAACAACAGAGATTGCAAGGACTACAGTGTCTTTGGTAAAAAATGTTGGATTAGATAGTGTTTCTATAACTATACCCCCAGACCCAGCACATGTAGTAGAGCAAACCAAATATAGAGAAAATGGAAGATCGCATGTCTTTGGTGATGTTATGGATCTCCGTACCTTGACTAAAACTGATATTGAGAGAATGGATAGTTGTATGGACCTATCTGCTGCTCCCACAGAAGTGAGAAGTCAAATGACTGCAAGTGACGCTTCTGGGCAGTCAGTAAGCACAGTTGAACCAGGGATCATAAATCTTAGTACTGTGTCTGTGGTCAATCTCTCTTTAGCTCCAGTTGCTGATGCCATTTCAGTAGTGACCTGTGCATCTACTCTAAGTTATAGTACAAGTATAGAAAGTCTTATAGACCTTGGACATGGAGTGACAACTCCACTTCATTTAACAACATCAAAACATTTTGAACCTGGACCTGGAATAACAGGAAGTCAGACCCCCTCTGCAGACAGAGAAGAAGCACCAATAAATCTGTCCCTTGGTACTCCCACATATGCACTCACATGGGCCGCAACAAAGCCTGTTACTGAGGTACCAAATGGTTGTATCAATGCTTCTGCTGCTCACAAAGCTATGGACAGTGAAGTAGTTGACCTGAGCACTACAAAATCCTACAGAACGAGGGTGACAGTTGATGAAACAACTTCAGGATTTTTTACAACTGTAATAGATGATGAAAAACCTGTAGATTTGACTGCAGGGAGAAGGGCTGTTTGTTGTGATATGATCTACAAATTACCATTTGGGAGGAGCTGCACCGCTAAAGCACCAGCAACTACACTACCAGAAGATCGTTTTGGTTACAGGGATGATCACTATCAGTATGATCGTTCTGGGTCCTATGGTTACAGAGGAATTGGGGGTATGAAACCTTCTATGTCAGATACCAATTTATCAGAAGCTGGACTTTTTCAGTATAAAAGCAAGAATACCTTTGAGTACCAAGTTGGGGCAGCTGATATAGCGGTAGACTTAACTTCTGGCAGAGTTACAACAGGTCAGTATGACAGGACATCAGACTTTTCTTGGAAATTTAGTAACAACTTTGCTCATCTCATTTCAGGATGATTTTTGTCTTTTTTGCCTTTCCCCTTTTTGTTAAGCTTTATATTCAACAGTGTGGCAAATTATGTTGGGATTTACTCATGTATTTTTTGTTTCTTCAATTTTCATCAGTTATTTTATGCAAAGAGGTACTTGCATGTGCCTGCATGTTCAGAAAATGTTCTTTTTATCCTTTCTCCCCCTGCTCAATAAAATAGATTGTTGAAGATTTGCATGCAGTTCCTTCCTCTTTATCACTCATTTAATTCACCTTTATAGGCTGGTTTTCAGAATCCACACCAGAATTAAAGACTATGTTTTGGGGGACTGGACTATAATTTTCCCCTATAATTTCAGGTGAAATTATGGATTATTCAAGCAAGATTACTGATCCATATCCAGAGACCCGGCATGTGATTTCTGGCATTAGTGCACCTCAATATTCCCAAGCAAGAATGGTATCATCCTTAGGATCCCCATATGGAAGTGTTTTGAGATCATCCAATGGGGTTGTTTATTCATCAGTTGCAGCTCCAATCCCATCTACATTTGCTATTACAACACAGCCTGGTTCTATTTTCAGTACTTCAGTTCGAGACCTGTCTTCTCTTCATACAATTGATTCAATGCCTTCATTATCAAACTTGCAACAGAGCCAGGCACTCCCAAGATCATTACATTTTTTGACAACAATAGCCTCTGAAAAAGACAGTTCAATTACTGGCATCGACCCTGGAATACAACCTCTCCCTCTAGAAACTATTACTACTGAGCCAACATTGCCTGTCTTTAGTACGTCTTCTGAAGCTTTTATAGATGGAACTGAAGATGAAGGAACAGTTCTCATTGGCCCTGAAGAAGACAAACAACAGCATCTTGACCTAGAACGTGAGCTTCTAGAGCTTGAAAAACTGAAGCAGCAGCGTTTTGCAGAAGAGCTAGAATGGGAACGTCAAGAAATACAAAGGTTTAGAGAACAAGAGCAGTTCATGGTTCAGAAGAAGCTTGAGGAATTGCATTCTATGAAGCACCATCTTCTCTATCAGCAGGAAGAAGAGAGGCAAGCTCAGTTCATGATGAGACAAGAAACATTGGCTCAGCAGCAGTTACATATTGAACAAATCCAACAACTTCAACAGCAGCTTCACCAGCACTTAGAAGAGCAAAAAATCCACCAGATCTATCAATATAATTATGATCCTTCTGGAACTGTGTCCCCACAAACAACCACAGATCAAGTCCTTCTTGATGGCCAATATACTGCAAACAACCAGTTCTGGCCTAGTGAGGAGGTGACAACCACTACTTCTGCTATCCTGGGGATTGAGATTCCAGAGAGCCAAGGATGGTATACTGTTCAATCAGATGGTATTACTCAATACATTCCCAAGCCAGGGATGTTAAGTTCTGTTTCCGAGATATCTCTTAAAGACATGGATGTGAGAGAGGAAAAACAACTAAAAAAGAAGAGTTCCACACCAAAGCTGCATGGCCTTTATGAAGAACATGATGAAGGCACTGAAGGTGAACCCAGGGGTCTTAAAAAAATAGTAGAGAGCAGTGTTCAAACTGATGATGAGGATAGTGCAGACATAGGCTATGCAGACAGGAGACGTAGAACTAAAAAGAGCGTTGATACAAGTGTTCAGACGGATGATGAGGATCAAGATGAATGGGATCCTACCAACAGATCAAGAAGAAAGACTCGTGTAGGGAAATATGAAGGGACCACTGAAGTGGACAAGGCTAAACCATTTTCCAAAGTCTCCAGTATTGCAGTGCAGACTGTGGCAGAGATATCTGTACAAACTGAGCCTATGGGGACAATAAGGACTCCATCAGTAAGGGCCCAGTTAGATGCAAAGATAGAAATAGTCAAACACATTTCAGCTCCAGAAAAGACATACAAAGGAGGAAGTTTGGGATGTCAGACAGAAACAGATTCAGATACCCAGAGTCCCCAATATCATAAAGTCACTTCCCCTCAGAAAGATAAAAAGCGCCCAATGCCATTAGAAATAGGATATTCATCCCATCTTCATCCAGAAACCACACTTCAGGTAGTTCCTTCAGCTCCTAAATCTCCCAAAGTCCTCTATTCTCCCATTTCACCTGTTTCTCCAGCTGCAGTCATGGAGTCTGCCTTTGTACCCTATGAGAAGTTGATTGCTGAAGATATTAGTCCTCAGAAAATTCTACATGCCGATGTCACTACGGTTCCTCAGTTGAGCCCAAAGTCTGCCAAGGTGATCCAGCGCTCTTTGTCTGACCCTAAGCCTCTAAGCCCCACAGCTGAAGATCTTTCCAGAGCTCATTTCCAGTACACAGATGGTTTTTTGGTAAGAACTCTTCCTTCAAATGTGACATTGACTTGTCATGCTATACATTATAATAATGAGCATTGCTTTGTTAACTTGCTTGAGAATATGAAGAGTTTAGTGAGCAGTTTTGGAAATGAAGGTCTGTCAGGTTAGAAACCAGAAAAAGTTTATAAAAAAAAAAAATAATACTGCATGAAATATACTGTTGCTGTTTCATTGGAGAAAGAGATGGTCTTGAGTAAGAGCTAATTGCAATATCTAATATATTTAAAGTTGAAAAGAGATACAATGATTTCTTTACATGATTAACTTATCAACATTTTTCTTTGTACAATTAGTCTGTTTTTAAAAGCTTGAAATGTATTCACATCACAAAGACATGTGGGTATATAATAGACAACTGAATTATTCTTTCTACTTTTTTCTCCTCTCTGTACAGTGAAGGGCCTGTAATTCAGTAGTCTCTAAACATATGGAATATGTGGAACATATCTAGTGTGTTTTCAGTGAAGATGAGTTGCCAATTATTTGCTCAATATCAGTGCCTATTTTTAAGCCTTTGTGACCCTTCACTTTTTGACTGACCATATGTAGGGTTTTTGTATTCTCCAAGAATCTTAAGTCAGGTCCAGCTGGGTTCATTCTATGAGGTAAAAAACCACTATGATAAGAAACAGAATCTTTTGGGGACTATTGTGAAGACTATCCTTGCTATCTGGCAAGTAATATCACTCAGATTTGCTCAATGTACAGATCAAATGGAGGTGCCTGGAGCAGAGTCTTGTATGGGGTTCTGGAGTGAATTTGCAGCTGTGACTTCTGTGTAAGTGGACAGTGTGCTCCACATTGTAAGCTCTGTCACCTATGTGTTAGATTCAGGTTGATCAAGGCCACGTGGGAGGTGATCTGTTGCTGGGTCTGTGCAGTGATTTTTGCTTTTTTGAGGGAGGATGTTGCCCCCTCAACCTTGAAGGAGGAGATAGTGCACCCCGTCCTTAAAAAAACTCAATTTCCATCCAGTCTCTAACATTTCTTTTTCAGGAAAGTTTATTTATTTTATTTATTTATTAAATTCGTTCCCTGCCAATCTCCCCCCAATGGGGGACTCTGGGCAGCTCACAACACGTTAAAACAATAAATAAATATACAATTAAAACCTATAACAAT